GTGGAGCAGTTTGGGTGGGGTGCAGCACGCGGCGTTGGATTTAGGGCTGGACAGAAAATTACGGGTGTGGCGGCTGGAGTTGTCGAAAGGGATAGTGCGGGTAAGGTCGGAACAATTTGGACCGCTGGAGAGGACGGGAGCGTTGTCGGCTGGAGTATGAAGGGCATGGCACTTCAGTCAAGGACAGATCGTAGTGGCCAGGGAAAATCGGAACGAAAGATGGCGAATGGAACGAGTTGGGACGAAGGTGCGAATATGGAAGAGAGCCACAACGGAGGATCGTCAGAGGAGTCAACTAAGCAAGCACCCCAAGGCTCCAACAACACTCCGTCAAGCCGCCCTCGACAGACCGCATATGCCCGCCTCCCAACCCCAAATACCGCGAACCACCATCCTTCAAGCACTCGAAAAGCTAGCAAATCCCGCAAAATCCTTTCCATCGCCCTTTCACCCTGTGGTTCCTTCCTCGCCGCCGGTTCTGCTGCTGGCACCCTTGCCATCTGGTCTACCACACCGATACAACACCCTCAAAAACCGCAGAAGCAAACACTCAACCTGCTCAAAGTCTTTCAGGGCCAACATCGTGGTGCCATTACTGCCCTGTCCTTCAAAAGCGTGGCTCCTGTGATTGGAGGAATATCATCGCATGCGAATCGGCCGCAGCAACTGTTCTCTGCAAGCACTGATCGGACGATTAAAGTATGGACGGTGGCTCATGATGCGATAGGTTATGTCGAGACGCTATTCGGACACCAGGATGATGTCCTAGATGTGCGAGCGGGCCTAGGGACAGAAGAGACCTGCATCAGCGTAGGAGCACGCGACCGGACGGCGCGGCTATGGAAGGTGGTTGAGGAGAGCCAATTAGTGTTCCGCGGAGGCGGCAGCGGCGGCAACAAGGACAAGGAGACCAAGGGGACCAAGGAGACCAAAAATAGAAAACTGGGCAGTGAGAGCAGACCCCCCAACGGCATCTTAGCATCCACGGATGGGGACGCAGCTCTCGGCATCACCACACCTTCTTACGTCAATGTGGCCTCCTCACTCGACTGTGTGCTTCCCCTTTCACCCACTCATTTCATCACGGGCTCCGCTACAGGAACTCTCGAGCTCTTCTCCGTACACCGTAAGAAGTCTCTTGCGGCGATACAGTTTGCGCACGGGCTCGACAACCCGCCATCTCTTGATGAGCTCGCCGCTGAAGTGCACCCGGATCCGCGGAAGTGGGAGCGCCAGCGCTTGCCAAGAGGTGTCACGGCTCTGGCGAGCGTGCCGGGCTCGGATGTGTTTTTAAGCGGTAGCTGGGATGGCAGAGTCAGAGTGTGGCGGTGGTGGGAGGATCAGAGGGGTGGGAAGAAGGCGGGCTTGGAAGCAGTGGGGGCTCTTGGTGAAGTCGACAGCAGTCAGCTGAAGGGGTTGAACGCTCTGGCAAAGCGGGGTGCCGTTAAGGACGATGGGCTTGAGAATGAACACGGAAGTAATATGGAAGTGCAGAATAATGGCAGCGTGGCGGAGGTTCAGAGCAAGCCGCCTAAGAATTTCGAACCTGGAACGAACTGCCCGCTTCGTGGCGTGGTTAATGGGATTCAGGTGCTTGAACTCGGCGAAGCGGAAGGCGAGCAGCAGCTTTGTGTTGTTGTTGCTACAGCTCAGCAGCATAGACTAGGCAGATGGCAGCGGTTTAAGGGACGGCATGGAGCAACTGTTTTCATCGTGCCAAAGGCGGAGACTAAAATGCCGGGTGGTAAGTCAGAATCGAATGGAGTCGAGGCACCTGAGTGATATGCACTTCGATGTGTGTATATGAAAACGACGACTAGTACTTAGATGTTAGTGAGGCTGTCGAGGGTGGTATGCCTTTCGAGAAAGTTTATGAATCGGTATCAGTTGCTGGGCTTTGTGAAGAGTCGTCTACTATACTTGACTAGACCTGAGTTCTCAAACTGCCTGTGAAATGCCTGAGAGTACAAACACGCACCTACGCCCAATATGACTATATATGACGAAAAGGCTACAATATATTCTTCAGGAACGTTTGTGGTTTCTCGTCACTTTCCCTTTCAACCACATCACATTGTGCCTCAGAAATCCAGACTGTGTGATTCCTAGGCCATCTCCTCTATACCTAATCCACAGAATCCAACACATGAGAACCGCGATGGTCAGCGGGATTGTCACAGCAGCGTAAATCCACCAGCTGCTGCTAACTCTGAGATCGCCGCCGGCCTCGACAGGGTCCGCGTTAAAAAAGGTCATGCTAAACAGAGCCTTTGGAGAGGTTAGTCTTGAATCGACAAGGAATCATGCGTTTCTCCTGGCTACAAACCGAAGTGAAGGTCCCAGGCAAAAAGACCATGGTCAGAGCGGCGATCGTTTTCATCGAGACACTATCCCGTCTGGTTTCTCGTGCGATCGATACAGTGTTCTCGCTGTTGTACTGGTTGAACCTACCTTCAACCTGAGTCAACGTCAATATGGATTCTCGCGATCTCAAATGATAATAGACTCACAAGTGCAATCTGGATCTTGATGCGCGCAGCTAGAGTACGGACTTGCTCTAGCATTTGCTCTATCAAGGTCGCACTCATATTCAACGAGTCGGTTACTCTCTGCGCCCCGACTTTGACCCTGATTCGTTCGCTGCTGTCCGCTGAAGCATCGAATCGAATTTTGGTCAGCGCGTCATGCTGCTGTATCAAGAAATGCACTAGTCCCACTTGAAATTCAACAGTCCGTTCAAAGTACATGACGTGCTGATTTGTGTCTTGCACTCTGTTGTAAAGGGAGGCATAGGCCTCTATTGGGGCGACAATTTGGTCTCTAACATTGATGAATGTCGTTCCCGTTTCGCTCTCCCTCTTGACAACAATGTCGTCCACTTTCCTGCGCTCGCCTTCGAGATGCTTGCGGCTTTCGATGATCAATAGGCTCAAAACAGCCAACGGATCAGTAGCGCTGGAACCACCCTTGCTGTAGATCTCTATGAAGTCATCGTGCATCGTTCTGTCAAACAACGAAAGAGCAATGGCCCTCCTAGTATAGATGTGGTACCCGAAATAGGCGGTTCCATTGAAGTAAGGTCCCCATGGCATCTTGAAGTATATATCTAAAAATCAATCATTAGCAACATACTACCGAGATTACGTACGTTAAATAACTGAAAGTGCGTACGGCATATGGAGGGATCACCACTGCTTTCGTCTATGACTTGGGATGATGCATAACAGCCGTTGTTCGATGAGAGAACTTCTATAAACTGCGGTGGAATAGCCGTATCCTCTGCAAGACGAAGAAACATGGGCAGAGATAGTGAAATATTGGCGCTATTTCGGAGCCACCCAAAGCTACAGGGCAATTGTCAGTAGAATACGTATCTGTAGAAGCAACATTTACTTACAAAACATCGACTCTGCGCTCCTTGCTCTCTCTAGTTAACTGAGGTGATCACTGGTGTAAGCTTATTGAAAGCTAGTATAGATTCCAAACTCGGTTCTGAAACAAACCTCAAGATTGTCCAAAGCGGTAGCAAGAGAAGAATCGCCATTCAAGTAATTTTGAGCTTGTCGTGGGATGTTTCATTAGTTTTTGTTTCATATACACTCGGAGCGGCTCTGATACACGACGCGAAAGACTGCGCGGTTTGAACTCCGTAGTTGAAAAAGGCCACTACGTCGGAGCTAAAGGATATTTGGATCTAGCAACCTCAACTTACATGTTTTGAAACCCTCTATAGAAATACACCAGAGACTTGACGCTGTAGCAAAACGAATATGCTTGCGTAGAAGATGTTGAACATGGGTACCTGATATTTGAACCGGGTCGAAGTGCGCGCTCTTGAAAGGGTAAGATTCTTGAGTGTTCATGCTAGGCTGCGAGGTGCTAGCCATTTGAATGAATAGTGTAGGTGCTGATGGCTTGATGACAGGTATGCAACGGCGTTGTCTCTAGGTTTTCCGATCGTCGCTCAGCCGGGGCTTGTCGTCTGAGTGAACACCAAACACAAGCCATTCACGTGATCCAGTTACCTCGGAAGACAAGGCAGAAACCCTCAAAGACATGCATCAAATGCAACAGTCCATTTTATAGTCTGCGTGCGGTAGTGCATCTATGGATATCATTATTGCGCTAAAGAAAAATGTGCTCGTTGGTTGTGGGTGCTCGGTGTTGTAATGCTTGGAATAGATCAATTAAGTACTCAGTGCTATGTACAAGTTATCAATCAGTTATGGGTCCGCAGTGCGCTTTTCGGTTAAATAGCTTTTGTGAAGATTTAGAGTGCTTGAATGAACTAAGTACTCCGTAAAATAATCAATCGGGTCGCCGACTCATGTGTTAGATAGGACCAACTGCTGGACCTGTATCCGTACATAGGCATGGGGCCCCACATGTTCTTGCGTTTAGCTGGATCTTGGATCAGGGGCCGCTACGGAGCCTGCGGATCTTCAAACAGCCCAAGTTCTGAGGGAAAGGAGCCAAAGCCGACGGCTAGGCTGGGCCAATATCACAGCTCCAGACCAGTCCCACCGATTTACTGACCGCAGACGCAGACGAATTCAACAAAGCACAGCTCCGCTCCTGCAGCTGACGCGGCACGGTTTCACATCCTGCGCTGCTTGCCAAGACGAAGGGGAGCGCAGGTGCCGGGGCTCGATTGGAGCCTAAGCCGGCTCCAATTTTGCAGCTTGCATGTGATTGTGTCGCGAGTTGTGCATCGGGGAATTCGGAGCGACTAGTTTCTAGAGAAAATTTCTTCTGCTTTAGTGTCTGTAATCTGCGCTAACGCGGGGAACTTAAGGATATGTAATTGGCTAGCACAATGCAGTGTGCTTTGCACATGATCCCGCTAACAGAGTTCGCCGTCCAGAGGCGGGCCGAACGAACACTTTTTAGGCCTGTTATACGAAAATGAAGCGCACACATAGACACAAAACTTTGTAGGAGGGCATGGGACTGAAACACCAGGTAGCGAAGACAAAAAGAAAAAAAGTAAAAAGATTTTAAGGTCGTACCCGGATTCGAACCGGGGTTTAGGGAAGTTTCTGATTCATGAGAAGAGGCATCAGAATCCCTCGTGCTAACCCCTACACTATACAACCAAGACTTAGAATGCAAATTCTGGATTTATGCAATATAAAGTCAAAATCTATCATCCACTTTCATTTTATCGCCCGCCACCAGTGTACGTCAGATACTCCCAAGAAATCCACGCGTAGTATGATGTTATTCCGCGTCGGCCCTATACAGTTACGCTAGACTTATATTCTGGAGATTTTATGGCACGACAACTGGAAATCTATACGCAGAATCTTTGGAGCTCTTGTTCCCAGATTATAATTCAATTCGCTGCGCGCATTGATATTCCTCAACAATGTCTACCGGAGTTGGCATGAGCTCGTGCTGCCTCTCAGGAAAGGTTAAAGAGGGCAAGCCCAAAGGCCATGTCTCCCAAATTGGAGGACTGGAAGCCTACATCTCTGAGCCGGAGACCGGCTCAACAGAGAAAACCGTCATATTCCTTACCGACAGTTAGTAAAGCCCATATGCAAAGCTGTAGTGTGCGACAACTGACGCGATATGCCTCCGTCCCAATTCTAGTTTTCGGCTACGAGTTCCCTAACGTTCGGCTCCTCGCCGATAACTACGCTAAAGCCGGCTTCTGCTGCTACGTCCCGGACCTGCACCAAGGCGACTCGCTCCCCATCTCGTTCCTCGACGACGTAGAGCCCTCGTTGCGCGAGCGCGAGCAGCTCTCTCTGACGGCTAGCGCGGCGAAGACGGCCAAAGTCGGCGCCACCCTGGGCCCCTGGCTGATCCGTCACCGCGAGGCCGTCACGAAACCGCTCATGGAGCAGTTCATCCGCGCCGTGCGGCTCATCCCGGGCACTGATAAGGTGGGCGTCATCGGCTTCTGCTGGGGCGGGCGCTACGCGATTCTGGCGACGCACAGGGGGGCAGAACCCGGCCTTGCGGTGGATGCGGCCGTCGCGTGCCATCCGTCGCTGCTGGCGAGACCGACGGACTTGGAGCCGGTGGCGAAGCCACTGAGTCTGGCTCTGGGCGAGAAGGATAGCTTGGTAGGAGAGGCGGAGCAGAAGCAGCTTGTAGGGTTAATGGAGATGAAGCAGGGACAGGGGCAGGGTGTGCCAACAGAGGTGAAAATTTATGAAGATCAAGTGCATGGCTTTGCGTTGAGAGGGGATTGGAGTAGTGATAAAGATAGGCAAGCCATGGATGATGCGGAACAACAAGGTATTCAATGGTTCAAGAAGTATCTTGGATGAATCGTTGTCTACTAAGGGAGATAATTGCTGTCCTCGAAGTACGGAGTGTTGCCGACATGTCATGTGCTTAGTGACTTCTAGAATAAGTAGGGATAGACGAGGCTCGAAATATCTCGGGCTGAAAGGCCAATAATGATCTAGTTACCTAACGTCAATTAGCAGCAGGCTGAAAGAACTTCCATGTTGGCTAGAACGATAGTTTAATGTACAATGGCCCTAGTTTACAGAAATCTTTATAATGCTAGTATGCACACCAGCAATTATGAAACGCCTGAATATGCTTTGTGATAGAAGATGAGATCCAAGACGTCATAACCTTCGCTCGACCCGGTTGAGTTTCGTTGCAGTTTTGATCTGTAGACCTGTTAGACAATCCCCTGGAAAGCATTTGGTTTCTCGGGCCTCTCAACACACCTGCGTTCTTGTTCGCTGGCCCCTCACTGGTAGATTCATAGCATGCCTCCTACCCCTGTATGCACCGATATCTCTTAGTCGCTTGATGTTGTCCAAAATCTTCCGACGTAGATTGTTCTCGATCGTCATGTTTGAAAGCTCGGACTGCATGCTCACGACCTGGTCCTGGCTCAGCTGGCCGATTCTACAGGTCTTGTGGATGTGGTGGTGAGCCATGATAGTACGGCTAACCGACGGCCCTATGCCAAAAAACCCCTGGAGGGCTTTCTAGGAAGCTGTTAGCCATGGTTTCTGTGTCCGGCTCGAAAGCGCGTTGGACGAAAATGATTGCGCGAACATACGGCGACCATCTTTCGCTCGGAGAAGTTGATTCCGAGTATGAAAACCTGGTGGCAAGTTAGTAGTTGGGCGCCCAAAATTGCTGCGTACATTCTTACCATCTCGAACCGTTCCCCTTCACAATGGTCTTTGACGAATTGATGGACTGGTTGTTGTCGCGGAGCCGCACGTCTGCCGCGGCTTGTGGAGCGCGCAGAAAGCCGAATTGTCCAGGACCCAGCGACTTATCACGTGCAGAGCGTTTCGGATACGCGCTCGGACCACGCTCGGCGCCTCGAGGACACGCACTCCTTGAGCCACTCCACGCTCTCTTACCTGCTTCACCAGCCTTCGATAGACTGTATAGAAGTCCAAGATGGCATCGTTCAAGCGCTTCCTGCTTTCGCTGTTGCTCGTTCTGTCGGTCGCCTCGATCTATCTTGCGCAGGCAGAAGAACAGCAACCAAGAGGACCCAAAGTCACCAACAAGGTACGGATTTCTAAGGCTGACTTCGTTTGACGTCAAAGTCGGGTCGCTAAATCGACGGGGCGCATAGGTGTACTTTGACATCACTCATGATGATGAACCGATGGGGCGAATTGTGATAGGGCTGTATGGCAGAACTGTTCCTAAGGTAATGCGCTCTACTATTTGCGTGCACAGTATGGAGTCACTTTTGGGCGATTGCTAACTGAACAAAGACTGCAGAGAACTTCCGGTAAAACACATCCACCATGGCGCTTTAGAACATACAGCTAAATCTACTTAATTAGTGCTCTGGCTACTGGCGAGAAGGGTTTCGGATATGAGGGCTCCACCTTCCACCGCGTCATTAAGGATTTCATGATCCAAGGTGGTGATTTCACCAACGGCGACGGCACTGGCGGGAAGTCCATCTACGGCCAGAAGTTCCCTGACGAGAACTTCAAGCTACGGCACAGCAAGAAGGGCATTCTAAGTATGTTCGACACGGACACGTTTGCGACGTAACAAGAATTGACAATGCTGTGTTTCAGGTATGGCGAACTCGGGGAAGGACACCAACGGTAGCCAGTTTTTCATCACGACTGCCATCACGTCGTGGCTAGATGGCCGCCACGTCGTGTTTGGAGAGGTTCTCGAGGGTTATGACGTGGTGGATGCGGTTCAAAACGTGAAGAAGGGTGGTGGCGACCGACCGTTCAAGACGGTCAAAATCGCAAAAAGCGGCGAGCTGCCTATGGAATCAGAAGGTGTGACGCACGAGGAGCTGTAGAGAAAACAGCCGGGGCCGGCTACTGTCTCCTTTTCCCCTTGCCTCTTGCGGCTCAGCGGTTGTGTGATGGTTGGTCTTTATGCCCTGATTTCTGACTCCCCACAAGATATCGTCGGCTCCTCAGAGCCTGCTCGCGAAGGAGACGAATTGGACTTAACGATCACGACACCGGAGACACCCAAGTCGCCGGAGTACGGTAGTGACATTGCGCCAGAGCTGGAGGGAGGAGCAGCGGTGGCCATGTCGGAAGAGGGGCTGAGCATGATGCAGAAGTTCTTTTTCCTCGGTGTTATCGTTGGCGCGGTAGCCGTGTTTCTCCGAACTCGTAAGAGCAGGACGCAGACCCAGGGACGGTTCCACAAAAGCATGGTTTGATATGGGTAGATAGGATATTCTTCGTTTTTGAAAGCATCGCCCGAGCTGTTCGGAAAACTACACAGGCAAGCAAGCAAGCAAATACTTGACTGCTGTTTGGGTGCGGCTGCGAAGGAATGCTTGCGCCTGGTTGGCAGGCAGGTAGCCGCACGTGCAGATCTGGTGATGCAAAACTCTCGGGTCGCGGTCTAGGCGGCGTTGGACTTCCAACCTTCTACCTACACACATAGTTCGGAGGCCATGCGACCTGTGGACGAGGTTGAAATCAGATTGTTTTATTTTCCGGGCCAAGGAGTGCCTATCTCTCGACTAAGGCCGTCAGCCAGGGGCAGGGGCAGCGTGCGAATTAGGGCGCGAGCAGAGTGAAAGTTTTCAGCAGGGTCGCGGCGGGCGGCGCATGCGGAAGCGGGCGTCGTCACAGGCGGGATGCCCGGCGGCTTGTTGGGGCCCAGAATCGTTCACCGATACTTCGGCGGGTGCAGCGCAGGCTGGCGGAGCGTACGTAGGCGCGATAGGCCGGCGTCGGGCGAGCGCGGGCGGTCTTTGCCGCATTGCCCCTACTGCCCGTCCAAGGCACGCCGCGCGCCTCGCCATTGGCCGAGCCCCCGGCCCGCGGCCGAAAAGTCAAGCGTCGCCACGCCAGAACGGCCAAGGTCTGACTGTCTCCGATCGCCTCAAAATTCCCCATCCCGACTTTTCCTCCGCTCCGCCAACCTTCCCTCCTCACTTTCACACCAACACCGCACCCGCAAACACCCACGCACAAACAGCCGCAACTCTCTCCCGCATACCTTACTCTTCCTCCCCCGTCTGCCCTTCCTTTCTTTTCTTGCCCTTTGCAAACGCTCGTTTGGAGAAAAAGTTCTTGAGGACCCGGCCGCCGTTTCCTCAACCTTTTTTCCTTCAGCACGAGCGGTTTCAGGCGCGTTTCCGCCTGCCATTTCCACGCTTCTTCTTCAGCCCACCACTCTCGCCACCGCGTCGGCAAGCACGCGCCTGCATATAGGCGACTACATCGGCTGAACATCTTCTCTGCGTCCCTTCTGAGCCGCTTAATCATTTCTGCTCCGATTCCTCTCCCAAACGTCACGAGCGAGATCACCCAAAGCCCATCGAAATCATAAACATCACGCCTGCCCGACATGGCTGATCAGCTCGATATGAATCGGCTCACGCTGAACGAGTCCAAGCATGCCCCGGGCTCCAACGGCTTTCCTACGGAGCGTGCTCCTTACATCCCTCCGCACTTGCGGAATAGGCCTCCTCCTCCGCCGCAGCCGAGCGCTGCTCCGGCTCCGATGGACGCTGGCCCTCCGCCCGTGATGAACGGCGGCGGTGGCGGCGGCTGGGCACCCCCCGGCGGCAATCAAGGGTACGTACCCTCGGTTCTCTGACCATTTATTGCCAATATTTGCGTTCTAACTTGTGTTGTTTTGATGAAGTAGAGGCTAT